CTAAACCCTAGAGGACCCTTTGAAGGAGCCCTAAACCCCTTGAACCCTGAATGAAACCCTCAACCCACCTATCACTACCCAGGGCACCTCACGGAAGGCCGGATCTTTCCCCAGCGCCCGGAGCTCCCGAAGCAACCAGGCCGAGGCAGTAAAACCTCACCGTTCTACTGTAGGGGCCTACATAATTAGAATGGGGGTGCCTTTAAAGGGGTCAAAATAAGGGGGTAGAGTTACTATAAGGGATCTATAAGGGTTCGATTAATAAGCCCCAAACAGTTGGAAACCGGATTAAGGACAATTAGTGCTGGAATTCCCCATACATGGCTCTAAAGGATTGAGGCTACTGGGTTTCCAACTTTTGGGCTTCTACTCTCCGGGCTGTGGGAATGCTCGAGAGGTTCCTGCAGCGGGTGGCTTAAGGGGTTCCTTTAAGGTCTTGGTGCTTTTCGGTCCTATAAGGACTTGATAGATCTTGATGGGATCTCGAGAGGGCTTATGGAGCTTGAGGGTTTAAGATTTCTCTGGCGTTGGAGCATAATAAGGAGCCCCCAAAATAGTATAAGTAATTACTGAGGCCCCTATATTTTCTTGAATGAGATGTTAAACTGCTTTATGGAGCTCGAAGAGGGTCTCCGAAGTTCAAGGGTTGTGCAGGATCATGGATATCAGGCACCGTTGGTTACCTGACGTGTACTAAATAAACCGAAAGCCTAAATCCAAAACCCCAGACCCCCAACCTTAAACCCTACTTTCGCAGTTCTGGCCTTTAGGGTTTAGGGGCTATTGCAGCCTCTGACTTTTTCGGGCTAGTGTCAGTTTCGGATCAAGCGCAGGTTTGGGTCAAGCTTGGTGATTTGGGCGGCGGGGGGTAAGATTGAAATGACGGTTTGTAAGGACTTGTGACTGCACGCAAGCAGCCGCAGGGACCAACTTCCTCTGACAAACTGGTACGCCACAACTCGCCAATTCCCTCAAACGCACACCCCACCCCTGAACCGCAAAACCCTGAAGCCCTCAATCCCCTACTTCCTTAAACTCTAAACCCCTATACCGATACCCTGAAAACCGTCCTGCCTTAAATGCAAGAATCCTGGACTTCATGCTCTAAGATCGGAGCTGTTCTTGTGCGCAGTGGCGAAGATTTTGAAGTAGACCTGAGTTGGGTTTGGGCTTTAGGGGTTTAGGATTTAGGGTTGGTGTTCGGAGATACTTTTGGTGTTGCGGTGTTGGGCCGTAGGGTTTTGGGGGTTTCCGGCTTCGGGGATAGGACTGTGAAGCATAAGGAGTCATATCGATCTTCGGCATCGGCTGCCACTTGACTTTCATAACATTGTGGCTCCGAGGATAAGAGCATGAATAGTTGGCATACTCTGGCTGCAAACTCCTGATCTCTAAGCCCTGGACCCTGTGCCCCAAATCGAAAGTTCGAAAACCCTGAGCCCTGAACCCTTATTCAGGGTGTGCTGAAGGTATGTGCTTTTTAAGAAAAGGGTTTGGGGTTCGGTAATATGAAGTTTCTAAAGCTCCAACAGGTTTTGGTTGGGGGTCAAGGGTTTAGAGTTTGAGCTTTGCAAGTTTTCTAAAGGCGCTTTACAAGATGGTTTAATATTCTGGCTTTGGGTTTTGGGTTCTGGCTCCCTTTAGGGTCTAGGGTTCAGCACCCGGGCTTTGCATTCCGCAGGGCTCCATGTAGCTTTGAAGCACTACGGCTTGAAGTTCAAGGGTTTTGGGCTTCGCTTGCAGTCGCAAAAGATTTTAGGGCTTCCGTAAATCCGGAAAGCCAGATTTCCCTGCGCCCTCAGCCTCGCTGAAGCCCAGTAAGACATGAGCCCCTGAAACCGTAAACTTTGCACCCTGTGAACGTTTCAACCGTGAAGCCATGCAAGCCTGGAAGCCCTTTGAACCTGCAACCACGAGCCGGGCCGTCATGTGCTTGTTTCGCAGCCGTTCGCTTGCTCTTCTCCCCCGGCAGCTTCGCTCGCCAGTACAGGACTTGGTTCCCTCCGTTGGCTCGATTCGATTCAGTGAGTGCTTTGTGAAGCGTCATGCTAGCACGCCTTTCTACGCGATTGCTTGTCGCGCCCAACCGGTGCCATCCTATGCCCATTCAGCTTCAACTCCATGCGCACAAGATGCCGGAGCTTGCTGGCTTCTGGTCAGACAACGGCCATGGCACCCCAAATGCCTGACTGACTTCCTTTAACAACCCGAGGCACCCCCAACCATGAAAAACCATGTCTACAGGTTCCAAGCACCCCAGGCCCTACATGCGCAACGTTCCGCAGCCCTTGCAGACCCTACCGACTCTGCTCTGAGCCCTACACCACCTGAAAATGCCTACAAAAGCCTGTATAGAAGCCTCAAAAGAACCCTTCAAACGAACCCCGCAAGGAACCCATGAACCCTAAACCCCCAAACCCCTAAACCCGAAACCCTAAACCCCAAACCCCTAAACCCTAAACCCATGAACCCTCAACACACCGGCACCGAAGAAGCCAGGCCGGCGGCTTGTCTGAAAAGGAACTGGCCCTGCGAGGTCAGGGTTCGACCATGTCCCCTTTTAAAGGAACCGTATAGGGTCTATAGGGTTTAGGGTTTTAGGAGGGTCTGGTATAGAGTTTGAAGGGGTTTGGGCTTGATAAAGGTTGGAGGACCAGCAGGGTGTAGGAAAAAAGAGTTGGATTCTATAAATAGTCGATGGAGTCCAGGGTTTCGAGTGTTAAAACCGCTTCATTTAGGGACACAGGGTCTTTCTGAGATCAATTTGGTACGTTCCTTTTCATACGGTCTGCAGAATCTTGCACTATTCCGTCTTCTTTTAAAAACATCGTAGGTCTCGTATTCTACAGCGTCACGGAAACATGTCTTACTTGGGGTATTTCGATATGCTGTATGGTTGAAGGCTTGCGGCTGTAAGGCTTGGAATTTAGGGCATAAGGCTTGCGGGGTTGAGGGCTTGGGGTGGGGTTTCTGGATGAGTAGTTACATTGTCCATCGGAAGAACGCCCCCCCTGAACCCCAGAACTCTAAACCCTGAACCCTAAACCCGAGAAACCTACGCTGCCGAAGGCACCTCTGGCTTCCTTTTACCGGGCCTGGGTGAGGGCGGAGACGCAGCAGCTGTTGAGCAAAAGGAAGCCTTGCAGCCCCATGAACCAAGACCTGGGGTTCAGGGGTTTAAGGGTTTAGGGATTAACGGTTTAGAGCTCAAGGGTTTAAGGGTTTAAGGTTTTAGGGTTTGAGGGTTTGAGGGTTTGAGGGTTTATTGGAGCGTATAATAGGAACCTACAAAGAAGGTAGCGCAGGATCTTGGTGTTCTTGTGTTTTGAGCATCTAGGCTTGAGGGTCTGTGACCTGGAAGGTTTTGGAATATCACAATCAAATGGCGAACCTTGCTTATACAGGCCACTCTTGGGTCAGTTCACCGGTTTCACCGGCCCAGAGCATTTGGCAGGTGACCATCCGGACGAATATCCCACTATAGGCCTTAACATCTTGTTGAACTTCAGAAAACTCGGACTTAGAGTTAGGCTCCTACTTTCGAGCATAGACTTCCCCAAACTTCAGAAACTGTTCTAATTTTGAAGGACGGTATGCTAAATCCCTATCAGCCCCTCACGGCAACCCTTGCAGGAACAGGAATTATTAAGACCCCCTGTATAAGCTCTCCTTTTTCCCAACATCTTCGATGACGCGCTGTGGCTACGCCTCCTTGCCACCTTCACGCAGCGACCCGGCAGCAAAGATCTGGCAGAAAACCAGCTACTAAAGGGGCCGTAGTAATCAGAAAAAGGTGGAACAAGGTGTTTGCGTGCAGAGTAGGGCATATTTTACCTTACGGAATAGTTGTAGTTCATACTTATGCGGACGCCTGAAGTAGCTGTCAACGCCATCCTTTGAGGATGCATCTGGGCCTGGCCCCGGAGCTGACAGCAACCGATGAAGGTCCAAAGTTGGACCCCGGATTTCAGAAAGGAAGATGAAGTCGGGCGGCAATCGTCGCGCGACATTCGGCCCTTGCAATGGGTAGTCGCCGAGGAAAAACTCCCCTTACAGCATGAAGCTCTTGCTGTTGCGGGCAGGCTAATACAGGGGCCTTAATAATTAGAACAGGGTTTTGGGGAATATTGTACCATAACTATAATAAGGAACCAGCAAAATGGGATTGATAATGACTTAGGCCTCTGTATTAGAAGATTCAGAGCCCGGCTGCGGCGCACTTTGATCAGGGTCCAAGGTCGATCTGCCTCAGAGCCTGTGGCGGCCCCCGACAGCTTTTATCCGCGAGCGGGAATTTTGGAAGATCATATAGGAGCTTCAAAAATTACCTATATCATGAAAGGGGTTCCTTTAAAGGGGTCTGTAAGGGCGATTACTAAGGGTCGTGAAGGACATCCGAGAATTTGCACGCCATCGACGAACTCTCCCATGTTGTCGATCACGCAGTCCGCCAAGTCTTTCAACTTGTCCACGAGCTTGCATGCCAAGTCCTCCATTCTGCCCGCCAAGACATCTGCGACTTTCTTGAACGGTTTCGCAAAATCACAGATCCCGAACACCATGTCTGCTGCACACGGCGCTTGAGCACGAAATCTTCAGAGCATCAAGGTTTGAACAGCTGCCCAGTTGAGAAATAATCTTGTAACCCACTATCAGTTGAAAAGTGCCTCCTCAACAACTTGGCATTCTGATAAATCACCGTCGAAGGTGTTTTATGAAACCCTCTTGACAGTCTTATAAACCACCATGTGTCGACTATGGAAGACTATAAGCCGCTCAACAGACAGCTCCGACTTCCCTTAGCCTCCCTTAATCCCCAAATCCTGAACTCTCCTAAACCCCAAACGCTAAACTCTACACCCTGGGCTCTAAGCCTTAAACCATGAACACTAAGCTCTAAATCTTAAACCCTAAACCCTCTTAACCTTAAACTCAAACTCTGAACCCTGAGCTCTAAGCCCGAGAAAACCCTCTTCTCCTCGCCCTTCCAAGCTTCAGACTCACTGTGAGCGGGAGCCACTGCGAGGTCGAGCCTTGCAAAAGTTGAGGTTTTAGGGTTCGATACGAGCTTCTTGAAGGGATCGAGAACGAGGTCCCTTTAAGGGATCTATCATGGGGTCCCTTTAAGGGGTCCCTTTCAGGGATCCACTGTGGGGTCCCTTTAAGGGATCTATTATGGGGTCCCTCTAAAGCATCTATGATGGGTTTTGGATGAACACTGTGTGCTTCGCGCAGATTGACTTCCATGGTCTATGTTTCCGGCGGATCTATAAGAGGGTTTCGTTAAAGGATCTACAATAGGGCTCCGATAAGGGATGGATAATAGGGTTCCTAGAAAGGCTGAGGATTTACAAGGGTCTCGGGGTGCAGGGTATCTCTTTTTTTGGGCTCTCTCTTCCGTCTGCACGTGGGTACGGCCTACGGAAGCCTACCGGAGGTGAGCTGATCTAGGGTTTAGGGTTTCGGGGCATAGGGTCAAGGGTTTATAAGGGTCTTCGACGTGTCGATATGGGTCTTGGATTTGTGGTTTCTCAAGCTGCTACTGGGGCTTCTAGGGTGTCTATGATCTGTTCATGAAGGTTTTTAAGGCTTCAATGGGTTTGGGTTTCATACTGAACTTCACTAGTTGTTTAAGGTCGCTGGCTACAGGAATTTATTTCTTTCGGAGGAAATTTGGGAAGTTTATCGCGCATTGCCAGGGTTCAGGGGCTATAGCAGAGACAGGGCTGAGGACTTTGGGATCAGGGTTTACCCCTAAACCCTAAAACCCTAAACCCTAAAACCCTGAACCCCTAAACCCTAAAACCCTGAACGCCTAAACCCTAAGCCCTAAACCATAAACCCCTAAACCCACCCCAAAATCGTCTTCAGGGTTGCGGCATCCTGGGCTGCCCACGTGCGATCCTGAAATAGGATGCTGAAGCAAGACCATGGAGGATCCTCGAATCGCTTTAGCAGGCTCCTTTAAGGTTCTTATTAAAGGGGTCTACAAGGGGTACGATAATGAATACCGTACTATAATCGTATCGGGACGAGAAGAAGGCATTATCACCGCTGATTCAGAACCCCTCGCAAAACGATTTAGGGTTTAGGATGCTCTGGGTTGAGAGTTTCTCGGATGTGGGGCTGCGGGTGCTTAGATTGTCCTGGAGGACCCCTTTTCCACCTGCTACGTCGTAGGGTTGGGGTTAGTGGTTGGGGTTTAGGTTTAAGGTTCAAGGCTCGGGGAATTTTGTTTGCTCTAGGGGCTGAGATAGGGGTTCTAGTGATCAAGGTTATAGTCAAGTTTGAGTTCTTCTGATTCTAATATGTAGAGGTTCTGCGTTTACCACTCTTTGGGGTTTGAAGTCAGGGTTTCTGAGTTCAATAGCGTTCCAAATTAGGAGCCATACTTACAGACTTCCTAGTCCGCTCATCTCGTTCATCGAGTCCGTGGGAGCTAGAACCGGAACAGTTGGCCCAGCAGTTGCCTCGGGCATGCGGACATAGGCACAGCGGGCCCCAAACCCTAAACGGCTTCGGGTGAGGATTGGGGTTACGGTTACACGGTTTCTGGCTCAGGGTGCAGATGTGAGTATGTAGGTAGCCCCAGAGAGCCACGACCCAGAGCAGGTTCTCACGTTTGCGCTGGAGGCTTCCATCAAGCGAAGCAGTAATACACAGCCCCACCGGCCCTGCAAAAGCCCTTTGAGATTCTCTGAGACAGGGCAGATACCCCAAACTCACCGGCTCCCTAGCAATCCCTCTTGACGAGGCCTGTATAGTACAGCCGCCGTTCACATGAAAGACTGAAGGCAGGTGAGCCCAATTCACCCGAATGTTAGGTACGGCCCCATACAGTAAGAGTGTATAACAGGGCTACTATTAAGGTCCTACTATATCTATATTATGAATATTATTCAACAATAACTGAGTGGGGGCTGTACGCAACCCGAATGGTTTTTCGGGGCTCACCTGGGGGCTAAGAGTTGCTGTGTAGTCACAGGCAGTGAAACTCAACAAAGCCCAAACTAAACCCCACAAAGGCCCGAAACCCTCGGCCCCAAATCCTAAAACCCCAAAACCCTATAGCCCCACAGCACCAAACCTCAACGGCTGCCTCCAAATTCTCGCAGCGCCTGAAGGTCGTCGTCATCGGGCCCAGGATCAGACCTTTGCCTGTTTTTTGGGGGGGCCAGAGAGCTCAATACCCCTGATTTAAGGAATATAGCTTAAATCATAATATGAAGCCCATTGCACTTTAAGGTATATTGCTTAGTTGAGGGGTAGTATTGAGCTCTCTGAAAGGGTCTTTCGCAGGTTCAGGGCTCAAGAGCAGGAACAAGGACTGGCCCAGGAAACGACTGCTAGGCCCTGAAAACCCACGGCACAAGAACCTAGCGGAAATAAACCGAAACCTCATGAATCTTGCAGGCCCTCGATGGCATGAAACAGCGTAGACCTCGACCTAGAAGAGGACAACTGCTTGCTTAGGTTCCTGAGTAAGCCCTTAATGAACGCAACAGGAAGCAGGGCAACTTGAAGGAATACAGCAAACAAACTCCTCAAAACCTAGAGTTTACGGCCTAGTGTTCAGGATTTGGGGTGTAAGCGACGAACCACCCCTTGGGCATCGAGCTCTTCTCGAACCCTTACTAGGGCCCGCTCAGGAACCCTAACCAACCCCAAGAGGCCAGTAACAATAACAACAACAATAATATCCCGAGGCCACACATCCTCAACCCTAAATCCCTAAACCCCAAACCCATAAACTCTAAACCCCTAAACCCCTAAACCCCAAACCCCGAAACCCTCAACCCCTATAAACCCCAAAAAAAACCTTATAAACCCCTATAAACCCCTAAACCCTGAATCCCTAAACCCCTAAACCGAACCCAGAGAGCCCAATACCCCTTAATTAAGGAATATGGCCTAAACCATAATATGAAGCCCTATATAATTTAAGCCATATTCCTTAATTAAGGGGTATTGGGCTCTCTGGGAAGAATCTCGAGGCCCGAAACCCTAAACCCTAAACCCTAAACCCCAAACCCTAAACCCTGAATCCCTAAACCGAAGAATCTCGAGGCCCCGTCTGTCCCGAAGGCTCATGGTCTGCGGCTCCTCGCTGCGCGAGCGCGCCCAACAGAGCTCCACCTCCGGCTCTTCACCGGGCCCCGGGATTTCCGCTAGGGCTTAACAGGGAATACATACAGGGATATATGTATGTGTATAAAGATATATATATATATATATATGTTTGTGTATATATATATATATATATATATATATATATTTTTTAGATATATATATATATATATATATTAGTTATATATATATATATATATATATATATTGGGGGGGTCCGGGTTTACTAGATGCCTGTTAGAACGTGAGGTGTTGTAAGGGTTTAAAGGATGCGTAAAGGGTGTAAAAGGGGTTCTGGCGGTTGGCGGACGATCTCAAAACGATTTATGAGATAGTGGCGGTTTTCTCGGTGGTCTCCTGGCGGCTTCCGGTGGTTTTCCTGGTGGTCTCCTGCTGCTTACCTCGTTGTCCTCTGGCGGTCTTTGCGTCTTCTGGTGGCTTCCGTGGTAGTGTCCCGGTGGTCTCTGGGGCGATCTCCTGATGGTCTGCCGATCTTTCTTTGGTGCTCTCCTGATGCTTTCCTCGTGCTTTTCGGGTGGTTGCGGTGGTCCTGAACCTGGAGGTGCTTGCGGGGTGCGCACGGGTGCGCATGCAAACTGGGGGTGCGTGATTGTCCTTCATTGTTCGCGGATTTGTACGGGCATGTTTGAAAGGTCTCATAAGTATAGTACACATCGCGCTCCAGAAGCGTTTTGCGGTTTAGGGTGTCGGGTTTCAGGTAAGGGTTAAGGGTTTAGGGTTTGGGGATTTCGGATTGAGGGAGTTTGGCTGTGTTCTATGGAGGTTGGGGTGTCAGGGCCAAGCAACTTTAGGGCGGAGGCCTATTTCGCGATGTGTAAAAAAGGAGGAGAAGGACGAGGAGCAGCAGCAGCAGCAGCACTCTTTCTAGAGAGTTCTGCCAGCTTCCATTACATCGAGCTGCTTGGCTCGCATCTCCAGAGTATCATTGCAGACCCAGGGGGTAGAATTTCAGCCCCCATTTTGGAGTGTGCTCTATGGCTTGAACATCAAAACACCAAAAATCAAAACTGCAACCGCGAAACCTTCAACCCCAAACCGTCTATGTTCCTCTGAGCGGAAAGAGATCACCGAAGCCCTCCATTGGGTGGTTGTGATGCTTGCAGACTCTACTTCGGGCTGCAGTGGCTTGAGAGTTCATGGTTTACTCAACCCTAAACTCTTGTCGCCAGACCCTGAACCCGAAGCCTAACCCAAAGTTCAGTCCCCTAAGCCCTAAGTCATCCTTGCCTAACCAGTGGTTTTGGGGTTCCCTTGGCTTTTTAGCTCCTTATTTAGGAGGGACTATCATCATCCCTGGCTCCTTAGCTCCTCCAATATCAATGGTTAGTTTCTGTTCTGCCCAGGCGAAGCTCAAGCCTAAGCCGGAGGAACCCCCGCCCCCTCCCTCCACCTTCTCCGCATCGATCCAAAAGTGGCGTCGCATTCGCTTGGAGTTGCTATAGTTATACCTGAGGCTTTACACTTCAAGTGTACTGTTTCCGGGTTTTGGGTTTAGGGATGTTTAGGGGTTAAAAGCCCGATGCTGAAACCCAGCGCGAAAAACTCCCAATATTACCCCTAGAATACATGTTTGTTGGGAGTTGTTCTGCACTATAAATATGATATTCAAGTCGGGAACCCCTATGCCCTTACCATTTACTCAGACCCCTTCAGTACAAAACTTGTGAAACCCAAACCGGATGAAGCCCTGCAGCCCTATAAGAACGCTTACTATGGCTGTACCTGGCTGGAACCCTAAACCCTGAACCCTGAACCCCAGGTAGAGGGAGGATTTGGGACTGGAGGTTTGGCTGAAAGTACCTCTGTCTCCAGAAAATAGCGGCAAGATTGGCGACCTGGTTAGCTAGCATTTTCCTTGTAAGGCAGGGTATTGTCAGCGGCCCCTCCTTTGTAATGACCTTTAGAATGACCGAATAACCCCGTAAGATGACGCAAGCTCATGAAGGCCCCACATGAGCTATATGTCGAACAGCCTGCCGAAAAGAACATCGACATGTCCACTCTTCAGGGTGTTTCATCCACCGAGACGCAAGCGAGCCTCTCAACAACAAGCCACTTGCTACTTCAAGCTTTCCACTCCTCAGGGTGTCCCGTTAGTGATGTCAGCGAGCCGTGCTGGCCTCAGCGAAAATGGATGGCGTGACACGATTTTGCGTCATCATGAAGTGGCCATGGACAACCTTCGACCGCATTTCATCCGCTGAGACGCAAGGGAGCCTCTCAACAACAAGCCACTTGCTACTTCAAGCTTTCCACTCCTCAGGGTGTCCCGTTAGTGATGTCAGCGAGCCGTGCTGGCCTCAGCGAAAATGGATGGCGTGACACGACTTTGCGTCATCATGAAGTGGCCATGGACAACTTCGACCGCATTTCATCCGCTGAGACGCAAGGGAGCCTCTCAACAACAAGCCACTTGCTACTTCAAGCTTTCCACTCCTCAGGGTGTCCCGTAAGTGATGTCAGCGAGCCGTGCTGGCCTCAGCGAAAATGGATGGCGTGACACGATTTTGCGTCATCATGAAGTGGCCATGGACAACCTTCGACCGCATTTCATCTACTGAAACGCAAGGGAGCCTCTCAACAACAAGCCCTCTGCTACTTCAGGCTTTCCACTCCTCAGGGTGTCCCGTAAGTGATGTCAGCGAGCCGTGCTGGCCTCAGCGAAAATGGATGGCGTGACACGATTTTGCGTCATCATGAAGTGGCCATGGACAACTTCGACCGCATTTCATCCGCTGAGACGCCAGGGAGCCTCTCAACAACAAGCCACTTGCTACTTCAAGCTTTCCACTCCTCAGGGTGTCCCGTAAGTGATGTCAGCGAGCCGTGCTGGCCTCAGCGAAAATGGATGGCGTGACACGATTTTGCGTCATCATGAAGTGGCCATGGACAACCTTCGACCGCGATTGATCTACTGAAATGGAAGGGAGCCTCTCAACAACAAGCCACTTGCTACTTCAAGCTTTCCACTCCTCAGGGTGTCCCGTAAGTGATGTCAGCGAGCCGTGCTGGCCTCAGCGAAAATGGATGGCGTGACACGATTTTGCGTCATCATGAAGTGGCCATGGACAACTTCGACCGCATTTCATCCGCTGAGACGCCAGGGAGCCTCTCAACAACAAGCCACTTGCTACTTCAAGCTTTCCACTCCTCAGGGTGTCCCGTTAGTGATGTCAGCGAGCCGTGCTGGCCTCAGCGAAAATGGATGGCGTGACACGATTTTGCGTCATCATGAAGTGGCCATGGACAACCTTCGACCGCATTTCATCTACTGAAACGCAAGGGAGCCTCGCAACAACAAGACACCTGCTAGTTCAGGCTTTCCATTCCTCAGGGTGTCCCGTAAGTGATGTCAGCGAGCCTTGCTGGCCTCAGCGAAAATGGATGGCGTGACACGATTTTGCGTCATCATGAAGTGGCCACGGACAACCTTCGACCACAGTTCATCTACAGAAACGCAAGGGAGCCTCTCAACAACAAGCCACTTGCTACTTCAAGCTTTCCACTCCTCAGGGTGTCCCGTAAGTGATGTCAGCGAGCCGTGCTGGCCTCAGCGAAAATGGATGGCGTGACACGATTTTGCGTCATCATGAAGTGGCCATGGACAACCTTCGACCGCATTTAATGTACTGAAACGCAAGCGAGCCTCTGAACAACAAGCTACTTGCTACTTCAAGCCTTCCACTTCTCAGGGTGTCCCGTAAGTGATGTCAGCGAGCCGTGCTGGCCTCAGCGAAAATGGATGGCGTGACACGATTTTGCGTCATCATGAAGTGGCCATGGACAACCTTCGACAGCTTTTCATCCACTGAGACGCAAGGGAGCCTCTCAACAACAAGCTACTGGCTACTTCAAGCTTTCCACTCCTCAGGGTGTCCCGTTAGTGATGTCAGCGAGCCGTGCTGGCCTCAGCGAAAATGGATGGCGTGACACGATTTTGCGTCATCATGACGTGGCTTCGACCGCATTTGATCTGCTGAAATGCAAGGGAGCCTCTCAACAACAAGCTACTTGCTGCTTCAAGCTTTCCACTCCTCAGGGTGTCCCGTAAGTGATGTCAGCGAGCCGTGCTGGCCTCAGCGAAAATGGATGGCGTGACACGATTTTGCGTCATCATGAAGTGGCCATGGACAACCTTCGACCGCATTTCATCTACTGAAACGCAAGGGAGCCTCTCAACAACAAGCCCTCTGCTACTTCAGGCTTTCCACTCCTCAGGGTGTCCCGTAAGTGATGTCAGCGAGCCGTGCTGGCCTCAGCGAAAATGGATGGCGTGACACGATTTTGCGTCATCATGAAGTGGCCATGGACAACCTTCGACCGCTTTTCATCCGCTGAGACAAGCTACTTGCTGCTTCAAGCTTTCCACTCCTCAGGGTGTCCTGTTAGTGATGTCAGCGAGCCGTGCTGGCCTCAGCGAAAATGGATGGCGTGACACGACTTTGCGTCATCATGAAGTGGCCATGGACAACTTCGACCGCATTTCATCCGCTGAGACGCAAGCGAGCCTCTCAACAACAAGCCACTTGCTACTTCAAGTTTTCCACTTTTCAGGGTGTCCCATTAGTGATGTCAGCGAGCCGTGCTGGCCTCAGCGAAAATGGATGGCGTGACACGATTTTGCGTCATCATGAAGTGGCCATGGACAACTTCGACCGCATTTCATCCGCTGAGACGCCAGGGAGCCTCTCAACAACAAGCCACTTGCTACTTCAAGCTTTCCACTCCTCAGGGTGTCCCGTAAGTGATGTCAGCGAGCCGTGCTGGCCTCAGCGAAAATGGATGGCGTGACACGATTTTGCGTCATCATGAAGTGGCCATGGACAACCTTCGACAGCATCTCATCCACCGAGACGCGAGGGAGCCTCTCAACAACAAGCCACTTGCTACTTCAAGCTTTCCACTCCTCGTTAGTGATGTCAGCGAGCCGTGCTGGCCTCAGCGAAAATGGATGGCGTGACACGATTTTGCGTCATCATGAAGTGGCCATGGACAACCTTCGACCGCATTTCATCCACTGAGACGCAGGGGGTCCTCCCAACAACACCCTGCTTTGTTCCACTCGTGAAGATGTCCCGTAAGAACCGAATAGGAACTAAGCAGGGAGTCCAGTTTTCGATTCACGTGGCTGCTTAATCAGAACCGAATGGGCGAAGGAGTGAAGGAACAAATGATGTATGAAAGCACAGCTGGTTCACTAGTTGACACACTAACTTTACACCGAAGTAAAATCACTCAACTATGCCAGTCTTTGAATGTGTGCATAGCTGAATGCCGAAGACAAGCCCGCTACAAGAAAGGTTGATAATGATGGCAATGGCCATAACTGTCTATATAGGCCTCACCACAGACTAAGGATGCAGACCAATAAGAACGATTTGTCCCGTATAAGAAGCGTTTGCCTGTGTGGCTTAGGATGCGGCTTGTAGACCGTGCTGCCCTCGCTAAGGAACTTCATGTGATCCTCCTGCCTCAGGTTTGGGCCAATTTCACTCGGGCTTTAGGGTTTTGAGCTTGGGCTTGGGCTTGGGGTTTCCGGCTCCAGGGGTTTAGCCGTTAGGGTTATATAAGGGTTTGGGATTTGTGACTTCGGTTGCCTTTTATGGTTCAGGCATTTTAGTTTTGCCTGGGCTGCTTGGAGAAGAATGCGCTGAAAGCCGAAGGGTTAGAAAGGCAAAGCTATGTACGGACGTTTACATCAGTACTGTGTTCCAGTCGCAGAACCGCTCGCTGAGTAGGAAAATTTGGGTGAAGCTTGCCGGCGCGATGTCAGGTTTCGCAGAACGTGTACCTTTGCCCTCCTGGCCACTCTAGTTGCGAGCTCCGACTGCGATTGTTGCCCTAGTCAGTGTCCGCAGTTTAAACCCTCAACCCTTGACCCAGAAGCCCCAAAAACCCCAGAAGATTCCTGGTCTAGGCACCACAGCATCCCTCCCTAGAGTCGAACCCACCGGCAAGCCACGAGATTATCAGAGAATGCAGGAAATCTGACAAGTTTCCAAAAAAGGCTTTATGAACGCTTAGAAGCGGAACCAAACCCGGAGACTTCGGGGACCGGAGCCTAGAGCCAAATCCTACACTTGAAGGTTCATGGGCAGTTATAAGTGGAGTTAGAAGTCCCCTAATATGGGTAGCTATAATTATGGTTACCCTACTTATAACCCCATTTATGACTACCCATGAACCTCCACACCCGGGAAGCTCGAAAGCCTCACGAAAAGCCCCGCTTCATACTCCCTGAACGCGCAAAGCCCTCACCCTGTCAGCCTCACACCCTTGAAATTAGCAAAAAGAGCTGCGCACACTACACCGACAGCTGCTTGGAAGCTTTTCAGCAGCCATCACACGCACACCCACATCTTCCAGGCCGGAATCCCGCAGCCCCCGAATCCTATGCACAAAGCTCTAAACCTGACATCCTCCAAACTCCTAGCCAAACCACAAATACCCAAAACGCCTCCAAACCCTAACGCCGTAGATCCCAAATCACAAAACACAAAGGCAAACAAAACTGCACAACAACAACAACAACAACAAGAAGGTACAAACAAAAACTGCAGCCCCGTCAACCCATATATCTGCTTTTTGTCTGTACATTAGGTAGAGACAAAAACAGGAGCCCCGTCATGTTGTTTTACCCCCCCCCCCAACAACAACAACACAGTGCCTGTGGATGCCTGTGATGCATACTGTTTGGTGTGTATTTTCGATGGATTTCGTCTGTACTTCAGTGGATTTGGTGTGTATTTCAGTGGATTTGGTGTGTATTTCACTGGATTTCGTCTGTACTTCAGTGGATTTGGTGTGTATTTCAATGGATTTCGTGTGTATTTCAATGGATTTCGTGTGTATTTCAATGGATTTCGCATGTATTTCAGTGGATTGCGCGTGTATTTCAATGGATTTGGTGCGGAGTTCAGTGGATTTGGCGTGTATTTCAATGGATTTCGTGTGTATTTCAGTGGATTGCGCGTGTATTTCAATGGATTTGGTGCGGAGTTCAGTGGATTTGGCGTGTATTTCAATGGATTTCGTGTGTATTTCAATGGATTTGGTGTGCATTTCAATGGGTTTGGTGTGTATTTCAGTGGATTTAATGTGTATTTCGGTGGATTTGGTGTGTATTTGGTGTGTAGTTCAATGGATTTGGTGTGTATTTTCAATGGATTTGGTGTGTATTTCAGTTCCCCGCCGTGCAGAATATGCATTTGCGAGGCCTGTACAAACTACTGTATAGGAACTGGTAACTATACTTTTGAGTGTGCGGGTATCCAATGCAAACCCCTCAAAATTCCAGACAAGCCCTTCCAACACCCATCAGAACCCCTTCTGGATATCGCAGATTCTTATACCTGTGGTGGAAATGTGGTGTAAGGTGGGCGGTTGTTGTAAAGGGGGGGTGGTCAAAACAACAGACGGGGCTCCAGTTTTTGCCTCTACTACAGGGGGTAGAGACAAAGTCCTGATTTCGCTGGTGCCTTTGCCTCTACCCCGTGTAGTAGAGGCAAAAACTGGAGCCCCGTCTGTTGTTTTGACCCCCCCTTTTACAACAACCACCCAGCCTACACCGCATTTCTATCATGGGGCAGGCATGGCTTGAACTTCCCAAAACTCTACAGTCACCCTATGCGGTCGCCGGAAGCATTCCCAATTGCTTCTAATTAACAACAAGTACGGGCTGCTGTTTTTGTCTGTACCAACAACAACAACAACAGCAGCAACAGCCACAACAACAACAGACCCCAAAGCCCTGAAAGCCCTCAGGACGCACTCCGCCACCTCTGCGCCGTGTCCTTCAGATTGTTGGACAAGGCGACGACCCACCTCGTAAACGAGGCGCGTGGTCTTGAGCTAAGGGGGTTTTACGGTTCTGTAGAGTTCAACAGGTCCTGTAAAATTGAGGCGTTTGGGGCTCCTGTAAGGGTTCAGGGTTTAGGGTTTGGAGTTTGGGGTTCGGGGCTTGGGGTGTGGAGTTAGCGCAGCGTCTAGGATTTACTGTGGCGCTTAAGGTCTCTGGTAACGGGAGGTTACAAATGAGGCTTGCACTAGGGTCGCGATTGGGCTTGCTTCGTACGGGGTTACTGTGAGGCGTTCGAAGGATTGGTGCTACTAATTATTCAAGCCCTTATATTTCGGGCTGGGGTGTTTCAAACCCCAAACCCTAAACCTAAACACCAAACCCACAACCCTGGACCTAAGTTACTCCAACAAACCCGAACCCCTAAACCCATAACCCGGTTCTCCCGAGCCCTCGGCTGATTCATCTCCTCTTCGGACTCTGCACGGAAGACATACTTCGCCTGCCAAAACAAACTCGAAGGATTCAGAGTTCCGGCTTGAGTTAAGACTTGTTTAAGTGTGTGTTGTGGACTTTCTCCACTGCAGTATGTCCAGGCTCGCTCTGTTGAGATAGCTCACACTTAGGTAGGGTGTATGGGTTTTAGAGTTTATGATTATGGTTTTTTGAACCCCTTTCTCCCCAATCCGCTTCAGCACATCTAAGAGATGTAGGTTCCAGGGATTAGGATTTGTGGTTTAGGGCCTTGGGTCTAGGGATTTGAGTTTTGGGTTCAGGGTAGGGTTCGATACAAGGTTTGATAGGGTTGCATGGGGGTTTACCAGTGCCCCAACCTCAAAACCCCAAACCCTAAACCCCAAACGGGAGCTTTCGTGCTTCCGTGAGTCACGGCTTTGCTCGTAGGATGGGCCTTATCGCTCTGAGATTCTAGCGTTTAGGTTTTAGGGTGGTGGGGTCTGGGAACCCGAAATACTTCTGAAGCCATGTATTTTTGGTAAGTCTCAAAACCTTCGAAAACGTGCCTCAAGCTGTAGCCCCTAAACCTGAGACAATTGTAGATGTCCAAGTGTCCAAATCCCTTCTACATGTTTTGGGATGTCTGCCTCACACGGGGCGCGCGTCTGTATCTGCACGCCTGGGGAAAACATGGGGGTGGGTGGAAAGAAGGGTGACAAGGTTTATGGGACGTTTAGTAAGCCGTTTCACTGTGCAGGGGTTTAGCGTTCAGGGTTTTGGCTATGCCCCTGTTTCCGCTGGCTGAGTCGATCCAATTTCGATTGTATCCGAGTCTTGCAGAACTCCTGTTCAGACATTTGAGGTGTACAATGGTCTCGCCGGGGGGCTAAAGCCTAAACCCTAAACGGGATGCATTGTTCATGGATGGCGTTTCATAAAGATTATGCGAAGATTTCATCGTTAGAGGCTTCATCTTCATCGAACTTCATCAGTTTCGCATTCCACGCTGTGCTGCTGATGTCGCCTGGGCTAGTGGAACCTCATGACGGAACCCTAGGCCCTGGATTCTTTTTCGGGCTCTTAAGTGAAGCTTCCCTTGGGTGATATTTCGTGTTTGAATGAGATTACCAGGCTTTAGTAGGGTTTTGCAGGCTTCAAGATCCCTCAGTTAGTAATTCCCGTCTGCAACTTTGTTCGACCCTCCTGGTACTTAAAGGATCATGGGGCTGAGTAACTAGGGTTATGACTAGGGTAACTATACTTATATCCCCAATTAAGGTACTTATAACCTTACTTACTAAGTCCCATGATCCTCCAAGTATACTCCCATACGGACAAGGCTATCAAGCTTAGGATTCTACGCGGCGACTCCTTCCGCTTCCACCAGCCCTCAAAGCGAAAGTCCAAATCCAATGAAGTGTCAAACCCTTATTTGGGGGTTCATGGATACACACAAGTGGGGTTATAATTAGGGTATCCATAATTAAAACCCATATTCGGGGACTTATAACCCCCTACTTATACCTGCCCATGAACCTCCAAGTGTACAACACTCTAAACTCCTTACACAAGCCCTAAATAACCCCATCTAAAGCCAATGCAACAGAGGGGCCTAAATAATTACCAATACTGTGTTTGGGGTCCCTCTTTATATAAATCTAGTATAATGGGCCCCAACACCCTCGTCTAATTAGTAAGGCCTCTAAATTGAGCCCCTCAAATCGGTGCAAGCCCCAATCCGAGACTCAGTGCCAGACCTGTCGGCGGCAGCGGTGAAACCTGGCAGCCATGGCTAAGCTGCAAGACGTTGTCAGGCACCTCGGCGACGTAGGGTTCAGGGTGTAGGGTTTAGGGTTCAGGAGTTAGGGTTTAGGGCCTCAGGGCTTTGGGATTGAGGCTTTGGCACTTTTCTGGTCAAGGATCGAGGTATAGCACAATTTGTGGCTTTAAGCTCTTGGGGGTGTGGTTCGTTTTCTACTACGGATTCGACGTTTGTCTCTGTAAGGATTCTATACGTGTCTTAGGGTTTTGGTTGTAGTGCTTAAGGGTGAAAAGCAAGAGCACAAATAAGAGATCAATGGCAGGTAGAATGCAAACAAGGACGACGGTGTTGACAAGTATCACGTCCGAAATATCGGGGCTGCGAAACAGGATCCTACATGCAAGGGCACCCATAATGAGCCCCTCGGTGTTGGAAACCGCCTCTTTCGCTCAGAAAACAGGCGCAACCTAGGAAGACAAGATCCGGCTCTGTAGTGCTCCTAGTACGATTTGAACCTCAACCCCAAACTCTAAACCCCCGATATTCCTTGATGAAGGGGTCTCGGTTCAAATGAACTGCCCTAGAGTTCGAAGCTGAGGGCTCAAACAGTCCTTCAAGGATTTGAAACACGCAGGGGCCTGAATAGAACAGGGACAACCGCGGAGATTGTTGAAAAGCCTCCAAACCTTTTATCCGAAGAGTCAAAGGCATGCCCCCGGCCCTCTAAATCCTGAAACCGAATCTGCGCTAGATTCGTCAGCCCTGTCGTCTGGTCGATGCTCCCAAGGTTCTTTAATGGTTCCCTTTGCTGGTCGCGATAAGGGTCAGGTGATTAAGGGGGTTTGGGGCTCGAGTTTTGCGAAGTCGGGCTGGAGGCTAAAGATTGGAGTTTGGGGGTTTTTGGCTTCACTGCCGAGGCTTGAAAAGCAGGGGAAGCCGAGTCAGAGGCTGGCTTCCGTTTCTTGCTCTTCCCGTCCGCAGCATAAATGCCTGGAGAGGGCGAGACAACCCAAACCTAAAACCCTCAACCCACCACTTCTCCCGTGCTGCTACAGCTCCTGCTCCTGCTCCCCCTCCTACTGCGACTACTACGAGTACTACTACTGCTGCTACTGCTACTACTATTGAGGCACCTGCTACTTCTACCTCTACTTCTATTGCTTCTACTTCTTGTACTACTGCTACTACTATTGAAACACCTGCTACTTCTACTTTCACTTAATCTACTACTGCTACTACTACTACTACTACTACTACTACTACTACTACTACTACTACTACTACTACTACGACTCCTACTGCTACTGCTACTGCTACTGCTACTGCTACTGCTACTGCTACTGCTACTGCTACTGCTACTGCTACTGCTACTGCTACTGCTACTGCTACTGCTACTGCTACGACGACGACTACTACTACTGCTACGGCTACTGCTACTGCTACTGCTACTGTTACTGCTACTGCGACGACGACGCCGCCTACTACTACTACTACTACTACTACTACTACTACTACTACTACTACTACTGCTACTGCTACTGCTACTGCTGCTGCTACTGCTACTGCTACTGCTACTGCTACTGCTACTGCTACTGCTACTGCTACTACTACTACTACTACTACTACTACTACTACTACTACTACTACTACTGACATGCTAGTGCTACTACGACCACTACCAACACCACCACCACCACCATCGCCACAACTACCGCTACTGTAAGTCCCTTTGGCAAAAAGGCTGAGCATGAGGCGGATGGCACCCGGTCGTAGAACCAGCAGCTGCGGCACTGCCTCCTTTCATGCAGCATTGCAACTCTCTTGCCGCAATGGGTGCTGCCGGCTTCCTTCAAGCTTTATGGGGCTTCTAACCCCAATCCATAATGAACGAATATTCCGCAGATCTGACAGGGATCCTGAATGAGCGGAACTTTAAAAAAAAATCAGAGTCTGTGCTTTCTGGGGTTTGGCGCAGAAGAGAGGTTCGGGCTTTGGGGCGTAGCAACGACGACGACGACGATGTCGCATCGTGAGTCCTAACAGAGATTCTAGCACTGTCGCAACAAGGTTCAAAGTAAAACTTGTAGGGGAAGTTGTTGGACGACGGCTTTCACACCCAACAAACCCATGACGCGCCCGCAACGACAGTTGAGCCCTAACTTCCAAAGACTCGACCGCCCCGAAACTCTCAACCCCAGACCCAGCACCCGAAGACACTTGGAGGATCATGGGACTTAGTAAGTAAGGTAATAAGTACCCTAATTGGGGTTATAAGTTTACTTACCCCAATTATAACCCTAGTTAATAAGTCCTATGAGCTCTTAAGCATGCGCCATCTGGGCCAGATGCACGGCAAAAGGAAACCCCCTATTTTGGACCTTCGAACCCTGACTGAAGCCTGAGCCACCCCAAGCCCAAGAAATAGCCGTGCAATCGCCTATAGTTGAGGGTTTTTGGTTTGGGGTTTAGGTTTTAGGGTCTATGCACAAGGCAGCTTCAGCGTTTAAGGTTTAGATTTCGATTGTTGGGATCTGGGGAGCGGGGTTCAAGGAACTCTGAAGCCCGAACCTTGCAAGCGAAAAGGTGCAATCCTGTTCTGCAGGCTCTTTGTTATAACCATATCAACATCTACCCCGAAACGCGATTCGATGTATCAAGACCCCAGCATATTGGAAGAAAACCCCCAGAGGCCTCGTTTAGGAGGCGCCCGGTCTTCACCGAGGCTTTGCTCATGGCTGCTGCACATATGTTTAAGGTTTAGGCTTCAGGTTCAGGGTTAAGGGTTTTATGGTTTAGGGTTTTGGGATTTGGGCTTAGGCGGTTTAGGGTGTAGGGTTTAGGGCTGCCAAAAGAACAGATCTGGTCGAGGTCTTCGCAGGCCTACTTGGAGGATCATGGGACTTAGTAAGTAGGGTTATACGTACCAAAACTGGGGTCATAAGTCTAGTTATCCTAGTTATAACCCTAATTACTAAGTCCCATGATCCTTTAAGTAGATTTCGTTGCATGGGCTCCTGAGATTCATGACAACTTGGAAGGAAAAAGGCTCGATGCAACAAAGAACTCAGAGAAGCACCGGCCTTTCCTCTCGATGCCTGGCAAAGGGGCCTTAAGAATGAGACCAGGGTTTTGCGGCTCCTTTCTCCATGAAATTATACTAAGAACCCCCCCCGAAATGGTATTTTAGGGTTTAGGGTTTAGGGTTTAGGGTTACCTGGTATTGGTAAGCATTTAAGCCCCGATAGGAGCCCTCCGTGAAAAATACACCGCACTCAGGGCTCCCGAGTCGAAGACTACGACCCCAGAGACTCCAACTCCAATATCCCTTAATTAAGGAATATTCCTTAAATTATAGTAGGATCCCTAATATGAATTAAGGAATATTCCTTCATTAAGGGATATTGGAGTCTCTAGGACCCTTCAGCCCCTGGGGCCAACACCCCTCAGCTGCGAAGCCGTGGCTCTGAACGTGATCCCTGCTTGGAGGTTCATGGGTAGTTATAAGTAGGGTTATAAGTCCCCTAATATGGGTTCTAACTATGCTTACCCTACTTGTAACCCCCCCACTTATAACAGCCCGTGAACCTCCAAGCAGCACTCCTAAACCCGCAATCCTCACACTCAAGACCTCTCACCCCGCACTGCAGATTTTGCAACCGCCACCTGTCCTACGCACCGACTCCTTCGGAGAGGTTGCCTGAATTTGCAAAGTACTGTACATACCCGCGGCTGATCGGGGTCTGGGAGCTTAAGTTTTGGCATTCAAGACTTTCGGTCTTTGATCCGGGGGATTGCGGGTCTCGGGCTCTAGGGCTTCAGCGCTTGAGGGCTTTGGATGGTTTCCGGGCTTAGGTTCAAGGTAGCCTGTCCCAGGAGAAGCTCAGAAAGCTGCCTCACAGCCGAAAATCCGCTCCCTGAACCCCCCAATTCGAACCCTGGTTCAGATCGGAACGGGCAGTCTGAATAATTCTCTGCACTACGTCACTGCGCAGCACCCAAAAACCCGCCGTAACCTGAAGCACCCTTATTGTAGTCCTTAAAATACCCTTATAGCACCCTTACAATAACCCTCACTTCTATTCCTTATGGTACCCTTATAGGTCCCTTTAAAGACACCCCTTATAGGAACCTTGTAGTGTCCTCATAGATCCCTTTAAAGATACCCTTAGAGTACCCCCCTTATAGATCCCTTACCACCAGAAGCATGCCATTGGCCCATGATCGGCACTGCCAGTGCAGAGACAAGCGGCAGCTGGCACGCCATGCATGTAGGTAGGCAAGCAATGGTTTAGGGTTTAGGGGACTAGGGTTTAGGGTTTAGGGGTTTAGGGGACTAGGGTTTAGGGTTTAGAGGTTTAGGATGTAGGGGTTTAGGATCTAGGGGTACATAGGCAATGAACTATCCTGTGAAGAAGCATTTCTGAGTTGCATCGGCTGCAAGCTGCCCCAGCTACGATGGGCATCTAAGCTGATGCCTCCAGGGATCTTTGCTTAAGTTTGAAAGCAACCCTGGAAGCAAGCACGCCCCAACCTAACCGTATAAATCATCTTGCATGCTCGCATTGCCTTTTCTTTCGACTGCTTTTTGCAGCAGAAAAAGGGCCAGATCTTTCCACAACGGAGCAGATCCCAACTCTGTCCCACAACCCTTCATGCTTTAAGGGTTTAGGAGGGTCTTAGGGTTTAGGGTTTTTTTTTTGTTTGAGCTCCTTTTCTCCAGAGGCAGCAGTCCACACTCCTTTTCAGGGTTTAGGGTTTAGTGTTTAGGGTTTCGGGTTTAGGGTTTCAGGTTAGGGCTGAGGGTTAAAACATTGCAAGCAGCTGATTGCTCGTCATATCGAGGTGCGCATCCGCACCACGCGCTCACGCTGGCGATTGGAAGATGCGGACCTGACAAGTACAAGAGGCTTTGACCAATCTGTTTAAAGATACATAGAAAGATTGATTGGTTGGCTATGGATTGATAGATAGATAGATAGATAGACAGCGAGGTCGGTAGACAGTGGATAGGCTAGGGGCCTTAACCAGCAGAATAGGGCTTCGGGGGTTAGAAGGCAATATACAGGGACTGTAAGGTAATACGCCTAGCTGCCACCGATTACTC